GCCATTGACCCTTCCTAATTCGGCCGCCTCCCATATGATCGTGGGCATCTGCAAACCTTCAGTGAGTCTAGCCTGCTTGTGCACATGTCGAGGATGCGTTGGGGAGCCTTCTGGACCCACAGACACAGCATCGCCTTCGTGGTGCGAGCCAGCTCGGCGCTACCAGTCACAATACCAACGGTCCAGCAGGTTCACACGCGGCCGTTCTCGCTGCGCATGCCAATGCGGCGCTACAAGCCACTGCGCATGCGAGCGGAGCCCCAAGACTAAACGCCACAACCTCAGACGCGTCGCCTATGACGACACTTCGTGCCATCCCTGCCAAGCCTCTCCATACCAGCGAATTTCTCCGCTACACCAGGCGTCCCGATCGGGAAACACCGTCGCCGCTGACGCGATATCGTCCTGTCATCCAGAGATAAGATAGCGATGTCGGGGAATTTTCGAATCATGGGGAGAGTTTATCCGCACATTCAAGGCCCTTTGCAGACGTGAAGGTCGGCGCATGCGAGACGCGCGCAGCGGAGACGGGGTAAATCCCGGCACTTCTTTCGGACGAGGGTAGATCACCGCCCGATCTGCGTGCGATAGGATAAAATTGTCGCATTCGTGAGGGCAAAGGCATTAACTGCGATTGTTCCCGCGCTGTCGACAGCTCCAGCGTCTTGCTGTGAAGTGTCTTGATGAGACCGCGACAACCGGGGAGGAAGCCGCAAAGACTAGTTGTGCTGGCGTTACTCCTCATCCATCTGCCCAGACCCCGAAAATGCCGCCGATTCGGTTTTCCGAACCCGCATTGGGTCCGCAATTCCACAACGACTCGGCCGACTCGTATTGGATCGCCCATGCGAATACAGCTCAGTTGAAGATGGCTTGGAGTCGCGACACGCAGGTGCAGGCAACGGTGTCTTCCCCCGCGGCTAGCTGACGCAGGTCGTGAGCCTTTCGGTAGCTGAGAGATGTAGCGTCCACCGATATTAAGCCGATCTATGAACGATAAGATAAGAGTATAAGATTTTCAGATGATATGAACCCGTCTCAATTCGAAGCACATATCATGGGAAGCCAACACGAGCGCAGTACTGGATGAGGTCATATGATCAAGGTTATATATGATTCATGAACAACACACTGCACCTGGTAAATTTCTGAAAAGGATATCAAGCACTGGCCACCCAAGGGCCAACACTGACCAGCCTGCCAGTGATTCAGCCATAGCAGTGTATCAGCAGCAGTCAGAGCCTTTAGGGAAGAAAGGACGTTCGATAGATTGATGTTAGCCATAGGAATCCAAGCTTCTTCGACCGCTGCAGGAGCTCTTTCTTGACTGGAATTTTAACAGTGCCAGAACGGCAGAACACAGAGCCCCCTAAGAGGAACTTGAAGTTTACCCAAGGCATATGGCACTCGGATCTGCTGCTGAGTCCCCTTGTGTGTCAAGGACGAGCAAGTCCTGCTGAATCCGAGGTTGACGGAGGCGGATGACTCCGTCATTGTCGAGCAGCCAGAAGCTTAAGTTTCCCAAGGGCCCCGGTAGCGGATGCTCACGCCTACCAGTAAGCTCAGGCTTGCACTGGCATACAATAGCTCGAGCAGGTTGCGGCACGCCGTGCACGAGTGGGAAGGTTCCAGTGGCTGCGACATGGTCGTTCGAAGGAGAGGGTCCGCGGCAATCACATTTTGAAAAATTTTCCCATCACCTGTCACCGTGATGAGTCACACTTTTCACTCTTCTTTTCGATCCCCATGCAGTGGCTGCGGCACCCGCTCGCTCTCGATTCTCGCGTGTGGATTTCGTCAAAGCATCAATGGGCGGCTTGAGAACAAGCAGCTGCAGAACGAGAATAAGTGGCTGGGCAGGAGGGTCGGGTGAACGGAAGGGAATCCGTAGGCGAGCCGCGAATGAACAGACCACAGGTGCGTAGACTGTGTCACATATTTATACCCTGAGCTCACCATACGCCTTATAGTTTGCGATCGGGCTCGCACAAGTACGGACGACTGGCGAAGCCATGCAGATTCCAGAAGGATTTGGCGATTGCGAGGGAGGCGATTTCGGAGCGGGAAACTACGAGACTTGTGTGTGGTGAACGATTTATTCCATAAACTAATAACGGCTTCCCCTACAGGCTAGAGCGCACTCGAAGGGTATTCATGTTGAAGTATCGGGTAGCGAACCCGAGTCTCACCGGCCGGATCACGTCAGCCGCCGGACCGCCATCACCGACGCCGATGCGTCGGGATTGTTCTACAATATTCTATTGACTCATTAGCTAGAACCTACCAGAAAGATTAGAGTACTATAACTACTGCTGTATCACTCTACAATAATCATTGGTTTTCCCCTTCTTCCTTCAACAGGTTATGGGCCCCGCCTAGCCTGAACTGTTAACACACGCACCAATCCTCGCCTGCATCATCCTCCCACTCCGCGGAACTCTCACGCTATGACGCACACTCTCACGCCTCTCATCAGCGCCAGCGCATCAGCACTCTTGCCGCCTAGCTACACCCCGGAGACAGCCCAACGAGCGTCTTTGGGACGGACCGGACAGCGAGTACACAGCACCCCCACGCTGGATGACCCCACGGCATCTCCAGCGCGTACCGCCTCACCGCACAGCCATCGGCCCGGGACCACCCGCGATGCGCTCCACTCTCTTGGCAACAACTCCCACGCACACTCGGACGGCAGCACTGCGCCGTCGCCAGCAGTCAGCGGCTCGGGACCGCCTCCACACTTCCGGCCGGATGCTCGTCTCGACACGGCATCGCCCGCGCCCAACTCCTCGCATCAGCATACCAGCGGACTCAGCGCCAACGCCGCCAGTCGCCAGCTCACCTGTCACCATTGCGGTCGGCCCGGCCATTGGGATTCCCAGTGCCGCGACACGCACATCGCCTATACGGCCCAACAAAGATCAGCGAATTATCACCGCACGGTCCGCCACCGGCGTCGACGCGGGAATCCATCACCGGCTCGAGAATCCTCGCCGGACACCGCCCTAATGGCCAGCGGGCAGCAGCCAACGCTGACCCGGAGCTCCTGGCTGCTCGACAGCGGAGCCACCACCCACATCGTCAACAATAAAGCACTTTTCCACACATATATGCCGCTACAAAGCCATTATGTAGTCGGAATTGGTAAGCTTCCAGCACTGGGGGAAGGAACAGTACGACTGCAATTCAAAATTGGGTCTAAGGTAAACAAGGTCACACTCCTCCGCGTCCTCTACCTTGCAGCTTCACCCCACAACATCATCTCACTCGGACGACTCCACCGCGCAGGCTATCGCCTCGAATTCCCCGATGACAGCGGCGACATCATCATCGCCAAGAATGGGCATCGGCTAGCCCACTGCCGGAACATCGGAAACGTCCTACGCCCTTGGCAACATCACCCCAAACTGGACGACTGCCACACCAGACAGCGACGACGAGGATTACAATTGGCAACCGGCTGTACCAACAGCACCACGGCAGGACCAGGGGGAGCAAATCACCCCAGTCAATGGCAAGCCCGGCATGGCCCCCGAGGCTATGGCCACGGCCCATTCGACACCACCACGTAGCAACGCGCTGATCCCGACCACGCCGCCATCACCTCTAAGTTCTCTCACCCCATCTCCACCTACGTCAACTCATGCACGTCCGGAGCAACGCGCACAGCCAGCGAAAGCCCCGCGAGACATCAGTAGCCAAATCACCACCGACAATATTATACTCGGGCCACGCACAAAGAAATATGCGAAGCCCGGAGCAGCACTTGTCACCACCGAAGACGCCACTTACTTCGGCGGCCTTGCGATTGAAGCGCTGTCAGCGCAATAACTCTCTCACGAGAGGCAGTTCCCATCTGCGAAATACGGACACCCCAACTCAGCTCGACTCGTGTTCGAGGGGGAGTGTTGAAGTATCGGGTAGCGAACCCGAGTCTCACCGGCCGGATCACGTCAGCCGCCGGACCGCCATCACCGACGCCGATGCGTCGGGGATTGTTCTACAATATTCTATTGACTCATTAGCTAGAACCTACCAGAAAGATTAGAGTACTATAAGTACTGCTGTATCACTCTACAATAATCATTGGTTTTCCCCTTCTTCCTTCAACAATTCATAGCACTGGCAGGTATGTATCGAGTTATTCACGCCTGCGGCCTGTGTTTCAAACCTCCGCATCTAGCCACCATGTTGCCAGCGCGTTTCTGTCCTCGTCGGAAGTGCTGACAGTCCAAGCACGTTTGTAAGTCCCTTGGCGGCTACCGGGTTGTTCTGACTTGTCGATATTTCGACTTCCGGATGCAGAGGCACGGCGGTGGCGACACCATCTCGATGACCATTGGCCGGAATTTGCACATTCGGCGGCCGAACTGGCTGCATTGCGGTCGTCCGAGTCGCCGGTCCGGTGCCATTGTCGAGCGGGATGTCGGTGAATTTGTGATCCGCGAGGTCGATCTCGTCGTCCCATTCTTCACCCATCTGTTCGCTCTCCGGAATCAAGTTGCCCTCTTCGTCCACCTCACCCTCGAACGGCCGGCCGTCCCGAATGCTAAGCCACTTGGTCTGGGGCGGGACGCTGACGAAGCCCATGGTCGGCGGGCAAATGTGCGTGAGTGTCCCAACGCCGAGGTCCAGCGGCGTCATCCACGGCGGGAGGCCGGGTCCGGGAATCGGTGCGCTACCGAGCGGGTTGCGTCCCCGTGCGCGCGGCGCGTTGAATGGCGAGTCGGGGTAGTAGTTGCGCGGCGTGCGGGCGGAGTGTGTTTGGGTTACAAACATCGTTGGTGGGTGATAATGTAGGGAGTAGTATGAGAGTGTCAGCGTACTAGTGGTGAAGATAGTCTGTGCTGGGAACAGGTTTTTATCCACTGGGAGTGACAATTATTAGACACGTTGCGCCACAGCCATTGATGCCATCGAATGGCTAATTTACGTTGCGCATGTCAATGGCTTTGACTCCACAATGATGACATCATATCCACTTCTTGCTTCTGACTCTCATGGAACTGCGCTCAGCTACTCGGAAAAAACGACCGACTGCCATCTCGAGCCCTCGACGTCGCACGAAACCCCGGAAAGTAACGACTACTGGTCCAAAAAAAGCACGCGCTCGGTCACAAGCAGCCCCAACCGCTACCGTGACGCCAACACCCACCCCCACTCCAGAGCCGACACCCACCCCAGATCCGACCCCCCCGCGGTACAGCCCCGACTGGGACCTTGACGACACCGAGTTCCAGCCCGAGCGGGAGCAATCACACTCCCCAACACCTGCCTTGCTGTCCGAGGAGGAGCCATCGAGTGATGACGAGGCCCCGAATGCAGGCTCTCCGAGCTCTGATTCGCGTCAGGCTCGCAACGCCCGTGGAGCCGCGTGGCTCCCGTACCAGGACCGACTGCTGGTGGAGCAGGTCGAGGTGCTGAGGCCATTCGATGCTGGTCGCGGCGCTGCACTGATGGCAGCTTGGGATTCGCTCTCTGTTCAGCTGGCCAGCGCAAGTCGAATCAAAGGGAAGGAGATTTCGAAGTCGGGGAACGCGTGCAAGGCCCGATTCCTCAAATTATTGAAGGCACACAGGGTGAGTGCCAGGCCGTTTTATTAAACTCTTGGGCTGACTCCTACCCAGGCAGACGAGACGCGCTCGCTGCAGAAGACCGGGACGAATGAGGAGGTCGACGAGCATGTACAGGTGCATGTTTACACTCTAACTGCTGGGCCTTGAGGCTGACTGTCCGCCGCTAGCGCTTAACCTCGATCAACGAGCTCTATCACGAGCAAGAGCTGCGCAAAACGGACAAGTCGACGGCAGCGCAGAAGAAAGCAAAGGTCGAACAGGATGCGGCGCTGGAAATCCGAGACGCGGCCATGCGAGGTCTTGTTCGTCGTGAAAATCTCACTGACGTGGCTCAGTTGGACAGCGCCTCCGTCCGCGAGAAGCAGGGCCAGCGCCGACGAAAGTGCTGTCAGGGGAAACCCTGATGCCGTCACTTGATCCCATCAAGCGCCGCGTCTCCACTCGCGTCTCCACGTCTCCGCTCGTGTTTCCGTGTCTCCACACCCTGACGCTCTCCCTCCACTGCCCGCACCACATCCCACATCCAGTAATCCCTAGTCTTCGACTTCCCTGGCCACCCCTTTCCGGGAGCCTCTCCGGAGTCACCATCAGGGATCACTAATGCCATCGGAGACCTCTCCGGATGTGGATGCACCACTTCCCTCTAGACCTTGAGCCTATGGCCTGCCAGCCTCTCTGGGCTGTCACTTATCAAGGTCTCCCTACGATCTCTACCTGCTGGACCTCTTAGGTGTCTCCAACCTATGTCAGCGTTCGGGCTTACGTTCGGATGGCTGAGCCTCGCCATGGCTCCGCTTCCCACTCCGCCACCACGGCCCCCCGTCCTCGGGTCTCCCTTTGGGTGAGGCCTACTGCCGTTAAGGCTCGTGCCTACCGCAGCGCCCCCAGGCTGCACGCCCTCACACCCACCTCTCTGGAGACGTCCGGGGACGTCTCCGAGACCCCTCCTGTCGCTACCCTCCAGTGGTCATGGCTGGCCGCCATTCCCATTGGTCCTCTCCGACACTCCCGGCCCTTGGGCTAGACCAGACTCCTTCCCTTTCCGCTCCACGCCTTCCCTCTCCGTTTCCGGCCGTTACGTCACGGTCACACACCCGGAGTCGATTCCGATTCCGGTTCCGATTCCGGTTGTCACGGTCACGGTCACAAGCGGAGACGCTCAGAGGCAGCCTGGACCTCCCGAAGCCCTTCTTAGGCCTTCTAAGGATGCCTGGGCTCCTCCCTTGGCATCACGGTCCCAAACCTGCCTCTCCGGAGCTTCGAGGGCTACTCGACACTCACCTAGGGTCCATTAGCGACACCTGACTTCTCCCATGCGTCGTTCGTCGCTATGCAGTCACTCTATCATTACTCCGGTCACTAGTATATAGTAGTGCACCTGAGCAGAGGGCTCCTTGGCTTGTTCTCTAAGGATTCCCCCTCTGCTCAGGTGAGTCTGTAGCGTCCCTTCCTGTTGTAGTAGTTCACTAAGGATTCCCCCTCTGCTCAGGACTCTGATTTCGAGCCTCGCGAGGTTGCCCTTACAAGTGCGTCGTCTTTTGCATGTCTTCAAGGTACTCACAAGGTTCATTAGGCGGGCACTCTCAGATGATGGGAGTGACAAGGAGAACGAGGCAGTCGCCTCAGGCAACAAACGACGACGACGAAACCACGGACTAGCCGAGACACTACGGGAGCGGAATGCAAGCGATGCAAAGCGACTGGCGGAGGCACGGAAACTTGATGAGAAGCGCCATGAGGAGACGCTTGCGCTGCAGACGTCGCTCAACACCAATGTGCAGGGTCTTACCGACGCAGTGCGGCAATTGGTAGATCTGCATCGCGACAACGAGCGGGAGGCTGTCCGTCGACGCTTGGAGGATGCAGAACGTCACATCGCGCTCCTGCGGTCGATAGGCAAGCAATGGTTAGTCTCAAATTTGTTATTTCAAAGAACAAACAGTTTACTCGTGCTAGAATCTAATCAAGCATTGTCATCATCTTCCGGTATTTCCATCTCTTCATACGGACTTTCCAAGCACCACTGATCAAGCTCTTCATCATCGACAGGCCCGCCCGTGAAATATTCGTCAAGTGTCGGAGGTGCGCATTGGAAGTAGGAGGAGATCTGAGGATTGTGTAGAATTGTATGTGCGTTGACGAAGATGATGGCCACCAAATAGTAGAGTCCACATGGAGAGAGTAGAAGCCGTTGGTTCCGTGCATAGTCGAGAAATGGAAATTGTTGGCTTATTTCTTTGAATCCCCACTCCACAGCTTCACGATTTCGGCTCATAGAGGTATTGAACCGTCTTTGCTCCTCTGTAAGATCTGCACCCTTGAATGGGCACAGAACATGGCCAGAGACACCATATGCGGGATCCCCATAGATCATGAGCCGACGTCCATCAGGTGACCAGAAATGTTTGTCCAGAATCTCCGCCACCTGACTTTGTTGAAAAACAGTCTCGTCATGTCGACGCCCTTCAACGGGACCAAATACATGGGCAAAAAGTCCATCGGGTGTTACGATTGCATGGTATTTAAGGCAGTGAATGCGCTTCCAGCCGTTATAGACAATTCGCTGATTTCGGACAGGCCGTGCAATCTTGCGAATTGTCCCATCAATGAAGCCCACGACCGAGTCTAGAGGGGCCCCGTGTCTCTCCACAACCTTGCCAAAGTACGCCAGCTTTTCTTTCGTCAGGCAGTGGGGATCAAAACGTAGCAGATGCTTCCATCGATCGTATACTGCGGCAGCTGTAAGACGTGAAATGCGAGAGAACCGAGACCGTTCCCAGCCAAATTGCATCTCAAGGTCGTCAATCCGGGATGGGTGCGTCAGGCGGCAGAGTAGCATACACAACGCAGTCATCCGATCCTCTCGATTGCGAGAGTCCGGACACTGGATGACTACTGGAAGATCAAGAGCCTCAGCAAGCTGCCCCATTTCCCCTCGCGTGAAACTATGATTGAGCTTGAGCTCATTTCACAGTCCCTAAACTGATAACACACCGAAAATGCATCAGCCAGACATCATCACCAAGCGTACTTAGGTCTATTGCACCACCTTCCCTCATCCGGCCTTGCCGCGCAATCCATTCTTCATCCTGTGCATCTAGTATGGCACCCAGAAGCCCATGGAATCCCAGTGAGGCTGCGAGTATCCTTGCCTCCATCGATAGTGGTGGTGGTTGTGCAATAAGGAAATTATGGCAGCCATTGACATGCGCAATGGAAATCAGCCATTCGATGGCATCAATGGCTGTGGCGCAACGTGTCTAATTAGCGTGGTGTCGTAACGATCAGCCGACACAATAAGGTCTGATGGTGCCGACGGACGACAAAAGGGAAGCTTGACGGTGGGTGAATAGCTAAGACCAAACAACCAAACATGTGTATTGTCAATACATCCATTTCACACGCACCGTACATCTGTTTCCATGGTGTCGTGTGACTGGATGAACAACAAAAGAGGAAACAATACCTATTAGTCACTTCCACAGAAGTCTTTTTTTGGAGAACCACATGCACTCTGGAGTATACCGTGACTCCAGCCGCTGAAAGTTGATTTAAAAAGTACCAGTCTTTGAATGAATTTTTACCAAAAACAAATTGTTTCCACAAAAGGAAAGTTAGCCCAAAGGTTAGTTAGTTACACACTCTAACATAATATGTTCAAGAGTCTCTGGAATCCTAAAAGAATCCTACCTTGAATGTATTATGCATTGTTTTCTATAGTAAATCTCTGATTTTAACATGGAAATGCATTAAGCTAATTGATTTCCATATAGCAGCATCTGTAGGCTCATGATAGGATAAACCTTTATTGTTGCTCGAGTTCTTTTGATATTAATAAAAGACGATTTCCATAGAGGTATTTGATATTTGGACTTAATAATCCTTATGCTCTTTGTAACAGTATGTGACCCGCCTGATAGACTTGCAGTATTTTGATTGTCATCAAATTTCCTTATATACTAACAAATCGGACAAGACTGAGTCACTAGTACAAATATTTGATAATACTATGAGGGCCACCATGTTCAAGCACCAGCATAAGTGCGCCTAACCATGCTGACTGACTGTTTAAAGGTGTTGATGTATTAGTAAAATGTAGTTCAAAACTTCAAATTTCATATTATCACTAAAATCTTGAGCTGAAACAATTCTCAATACAATTAGTAATCTAGGTTTATATACTCCCCTGGGCAGGCAACTTTAGTATTTATGAATATATTAACATTATCCAAAGTAATGACATTCTGGTTATATTGTCTTCTTTCTGGATAAGGGGACATAAAGGCATCCTCTTCTACAAATATTCTACATATATCAGTCAGATATTAATGATAGTCCCCTTAGGTTTTTGAAGGTAACTTCGTGTCCAAACATTATCTATCAAACTGTCAACAAAGAAACATCAGGATAGTCTATGCTTCCCTTGAGAAAGATATATTTTCAGATTCCATAAATCAATTGCTTCATTTCTAGTTTCAAGATTAAATATACTTCTACCTCCTGCCAGTGCCTCAATAGGTAGTCTCATAGTATCATGAGACACTCTTGCTTTTTTTTATTATTCCATAGAAATGCATGTTGCTTTGGCATTCCTTGAACACAAGTTAGGTATTGTGTTTGTCCTGTAATGCTCATGGTTATTATATGTTGCTTGCCCTCCAGTCCACTGGCAGGACCAGCCCATGTAGCACATGCTAAATCACCTCTAATTTTTTTTTCCAGTACAGATGGCCAAGGATTACTGTAGTGCTTCTCAGATTATTTCCTAAATGTGCACCAAACATCCTAAGGCTTTCATTATCATGTAAGATTCTCATTGATTCTGGGATAATGCCTTTTGGTGAATTTGAATTGAGTCTTCTTGTATTTATAACATCTGATTGAGGCTCGTAGGGCTTGGTTTATATAGGGATGTTTGTAAACCGGTTTATAAACACCCCTGTTTTATTTGTTTATAAACAGGCATTCTAGGAAGAGGGTGTTTGCAAACAATGTGACACTATGTGAATAGTACTAGTATGACAGACAGCCAAAGTGTGACATCTCTGCCATCAAAAGTATCCTACACACATTTAGCTGAGATAGTAGATATTGAAGGGAAACTTCTGGGCCTCACCATGCACATGATTGAACTTGACCTTATTTGGTAATTTCTCAATTATGCCGATGTTATATGTTATTAAAATTCTCTTCCACATTGCACAGAAGCCTTTTTCATTGTTATGAGAACTGGAAAGGCAAATTATATAATAGCATCATATCCATGCACATTGGACTCAGTACTCTCCTATATTGATCAAGTGTCCATTGTTTAAACAAAGAAGAATTAGGATCAAACTCAGACTAAGATTAGTACTATGACTGAGTACATGGACTGAGAAAATAGCTGTAATCATCCACCTTACTATAGTTGAATATTCTGTGACTATAATATAGTATAGTCATAATATGATATAATATATTCAAACATAATCATATTCAAGTGATCCACGAAGGGCATAATATATTCATGATATTCTGAATATATTCAATATTTAATCAAGCATAATATAATTCTGGCCAGCACTAGAATCAATATCAGGAGAACCTCCCTTTTGGCCCCCTAGATGGTGAACAGTGACCATTGCGTATGATCGCCGCCCGCTGTCATCAGGTCGGGGACGTCTTCCCGCCAGTCCCGCTAGCTCTCGCCGGCTGTCAACAACCTCCTGAGGTCGTCCTCGACAACGACAACCCCAGTAAGTCCAAATCTTGCTCAAATTCCATCATGTACTAAACTCCAAGGGGGGTTCAAGATCCTTATCAGGCACACGGGGTAGGGGGGAGGGGGGGGGTCCCAGGGGAGTAAAAAAAACTTTTTGTATATGAAAGATTTGGGCCTTATATGGGTGTAAAGACACTGAAAATATAGTATATACACTCCAATTTCTATGGTTCACAAACCTCATACTTATATCTATGTACTTTCAGGCCCATGAGCTTGGATAGCCTACTCTGTTATAGGTCCATGGGCCAGGTGATTGATAAGAGGTGAACATGTTGAAGAGTTGATATGGCCTGCCATGTGTGTTTGAAGGTTCCAGGTACATACATACATCTATATATACATATACGCATATATAAAAAAATTTGTAAAAAAAAAGTTTCACAAACATTGAATTTTTTATCCCACTTTTTTGATCGCATCAGTGGTCACATGATGCGAATCGTGGGAACATATTACCCGATATGGTAGGAGGGGGGGGGGTCCCCTCAGAAAAAAAACTTTCCGACCCTATATCCATGATTTGAGACTTGGACCTGCTAAACTCTGCCCAGAACACAAATTTGGCCCCTGATACAGAACTTGATTTCTCCTTGACCAGATTAAGTGTTCTTTTCTTAATTATCAATTAGAGCTCTTAAACATTAGAATTATGTTATGCTTTGGGAACAATCCTAAGCAGAAGCCCTGGTGTGATTCAATGCTTTGAAGGAATATTACTCTCAGTCAAAAATCAAGCTTAAGCTCTTGCTAGGATAATTTAGAATCCGAAAATACCCACATTTGCTAGTCTTGGACTCAATTGCTACTACAATGCTGTATATGTAGGACACTTTTTATTTTCTTTCAATCAGTTTGTGCTACACCGCTCGTCGGCCCTACCTTGAATCATACAACCCTTGATATCGATAAATAGGACATCTGTGACCAGCTTCTCAATCTGCGATCTGCGGGAGATCATCAAAGTTGATTGCATCTGTCATTCATTTTTGAAATGGTACATACCGCTTTTTGACTTTCTCAAATTTTCACAAGCACACCTTTAACCACACCCTCATGTCATCCAGCCCTAAGGACTGCAGTAGCTTGGTATGTTTCAGTGCAGAGTGCCAATAGTCACAATCAAACTGAGGATCTGCAGAGTAATGTACCTATGGACCAAGGGCCCTGTACCGTTGAAGACCTTTTTTGTGCCAACCCCAGTGATACCCAGTGCCGCTGCAATATCGTCGAATTTCTGCTTAGTGCCGCATGCGTTATTTGCGAGGGCGGCGCTGACAACTCAACCTGGAGTCAATATTCCAGAGACAAAGCTTGTTCTCCTACTTCTCCGTGCGTCGATTACATCTGATAAGTTATGGCTAATACTTATGACCTAAATTCCTCCTTGCCCTAGTCTTGCTGTGCAAGGTCAAGTTACTATTGTGCCAGAATGGGTGTACATAATGGCTGCGGAAACCCCAAAGGTAAGTAAGTGGCAGTCTTCAAGCACTCAGATCCCCATTAAATGCACTGCAGCCCAGTACCTTCGATATCCAACAGGCTTTGAATCTAGCTCTTACAAGAGAGCCAACAGTTCCCATGGGTCCAAGCACGACGCTGTCCTCTTCTTCACGAGCCTCCTCCATCTCGCACTCTGCCAGTATTTCATCTTTGGCATCATCCGTTTCATCTTCATCATCCTATACCCCGACCCCAGGCGACTCCAAAATACCGCACGCCTCGCACGTTGCACCTATTATTGGGGGTGTCCTCGGCGGAATCTGTTTCCTTTCCGCGGCCGTTCTGCTTCTCTGTTGGCAGCGGCGCCGCAGAGCACAAGTCCACCTCCGAACAGCTTCAGCTTCAGACCTCCTCTCTCACGCGGGAAGATACGGGTCCGACATCACGGGACTGAAACACGCACAGCGAAAGGCACTGCATCCAGCTGAGCCTGCGGCCGGTCGCGGTCACGATGCTCAGGTGGGGAGATGACCGCGAGGCACAATCGAAGTCTCGCGATGGCTGGGAAAACAGAGCGGCAGGTCAGAACGGCGGTGCGCAGAGCGCACCGGACATCGCCGCGCCGCCCGATTCGGCAGGCAGTGATGATGAAAACTCGAGCGCTGTTCCGGACTCGGACGGGCGCGGAACGGTGGAAGATCCCGTCGGCGATGCCTCGCTGCGACGGCAGCTGCGGCGCCTCGAGGCAGAACTGCGGGCCCAGCGCGCCGACTTCAATCGCCAGTTTCGCGAGTTGGCTATGGGTGGCGCTGACGGGGAGACGACGGCGGGTCCGCCGCCAAGCTACGTCTCAGGAGACGCGGACAGAGAGTAAATTGCCCTGGACCAGAGCAATAAAACTTGGAGAAATGTTTGAGAAATGTGAACGAAAACCAAGACGAAAATAACTATACCCCCTGCGTGTCCTGTGCTTGTATGACGAGTCGATGGATACAGGAAAGAATATGCATACTTCGTGTGTTGTGCGTGTACCGTGGCCAGTTTGTTCACTTGTTTATGGGAAGTATTGTCCAGCGGGCATTCAGAGTTGACCACGCTACGCATAAACAAATAAGTAGTTAGCCAATACTCAAGACAACAGATAAAAGACAACAAAAACCGCCACCAAATTCACACCAAGATACTCCTTCCTCCTTCCCCATGTGCACATTTTACGCCTCCCCCTCGCCATACTCCTCCGCCTGCCTGACCCGCTCCTCCTCGACCCACACAAGGTACTCCTCCAGCCTCGCCCGCGCATCCGCCTCCAGCTCGCCCTCCGCGCGGATCAGCACCACAAAGCTGTCCGGCACAAGCGCCTGCCGCTCCCCGCTGCTCGTCCGCGCCGTGACCTCCTGCGCGCCGTCCTCCGGCTCCGATTCGCTCTCTTCAACAGGGTGCGCCGCGGCGTGCGCGGCCCACAGCTCCGCCCAGCGCGCGCCCATGTCGGTCCGCGATCCGATGAGCGCATGGACGGCGAGCACGTCGAGGTCGGGCCGGATGAGCGGCGGGTGCCGCAGCCAGGCGACCGCCCATTGCGGTGCGGGGCCTTCGTCGTCCTCTTCTTCTGGTGCTGCGAGGTGTTGTTAGCTTGATTGACACGAGCAGCGAGATGGAGGAAAAGGACGAGATAGTAAAGAAAGAAACATCGAGGGAAAAACAAGTTAAATGGAACAAGATATGGTACAAAATTGAAAAGAACAAGGAGAATACGAGGTCAGTAATATGTAAAACAGACTACAAAGCAAGAGCAGGAGGGAATGTGGATTTGGTGGAAGCAAAAAAAGGAGGGTACGGAAGCAACAGATGCCGCACGATGAGAGCAGTAAGTAGAATAATGGCAATGCCAAAGGGGAGCAGGAGTCGGGCCAGTCGAAAAAACACCGGCAGCGATGAAAAAGATAAACGAGGAAGTGAATGGATGAAGATGATCAACAGTGGGTGAGAACAGGTGAGCGGTATCAGGAAGGGAAAGAAAAAATGGGAGCAAATTGAATGGGACGAAAGGATATCAAGACTCACCCTGCTCCTGGTCAGGCACCATCGTCGCTCCGCTGCCCGCGACATAAATCAGCTGTCCCTCCTCCAACGGCATCTCCGCCTCGCCACCTTCCGCGCCAAACGCGAACTGCGCACGATATATCCCCGGGGCCAGCCCGCCTGTCCAGTGTCAGCGATCTCCGATGATTGTCAAGAGAAAGGGCACAAAACTCACCCGCATACCCCTCCGTCTCCTGCTCCTCCTCAGCAAAGTTTCGCGCGAAATCCTCCGCACTGAGATGTGCACTCGCCCGTCTGTCCCCGTTGCCGAGCCCGAAGTCGAGGCGCGTGCCCATCTGCGGGTAGCGGTACCCGCCCCAGCCGTCGTCCTCCTCGTCATCATCATCTTGTGCTGGCGGGCCCGTTGGCGACGGGCAGGGCGACCCGTTTAGCCTGCGGTTGAGCAGCTCCGGCTTACACGCATTGGGCGCTTCCTCGCCCGCGCCAACGCCCCGCGCATCGTCGGCCACGTAGGCAAAGTCGCGGATCCGGATGGGCGGGCGGGGGGTGCGTGCTTTTGGCTGGATGGCGAGGGGTTCTGCCGTTGTCGTTGTAGCTGTGATGACTGTGGCTGGCGTCTTCGGCGGCTCTTGCGCTTGCCCGTTGTTGCCCTCGAGCTCCGCAGCACTGACGCTCATGCTCAGGCTGTGTCTCACCCCCGCCAATACCCTCGACGTCCGTCTACTGGCTCCTCCCCCTCCCGCGGAGCTCGCATGACTGCCACTCGCCCTCCGTGAGCTCGCTGAGCTCGCGCTCCTGGCCAGCGACGTCCGTCTCGAGAGCGACGGGGCGGGCGACTGCGGGGCGGGCCTGGAGCTGGTCGGCTTATCTGCGGTCGGGGTGCTCGGTGTCGTCGGCGTGCGCGGGGCCGAGCCCGGGCCCGCCGTCGGGAACGACGTCCGCTTCGCCGATGGCGGCGGCGTCGGGGTCAGATCGACGACCATCGCTGCAACAGACCCGCGCGGATTCGCCAGCGTCGGCGTGAGGGAGGGCGAGAGCGGGGTGTCGGGGGCGGGGAGGGGCAGGGTCAGCGCCGTCGTCTTCGTGCCATTCGTCATCGCTGTCGTCGGCGGCGCCCCCTTCTTCTCGTCGCCGGTGACGACGCTGAGCGTGGTCTCCTCCTTCGTCATCTGCAGCCCGTCCGCGGTGTGCGTTTTCGTGTGGTCGGTGTGGGTGGCGCGGACGATGTGCAGGATGTGGTGTGGGAGCTGCGCTGTGGGAGAGCTGAGACAGCGGATGGAGAGAGGAGGAAAAGAAGCAATGCAGCCGACAGCCGACCCCATCACGCCACGTCATGTCACGCCGTTGCCAGGGTTATCGTCAAATCCATGGTCCGATCGAGAGTGCTCGATTTTCTGTGCCCCTGATTCTGGTCCCGTCGTCAGCGGGCTCAGCAGCGGAGGACGTCCAACTGATTGTTCTCCTCCCGCAGTGATCATAAAATGAGCCCCGCTGTCTTCCTTGTAGTGTCCAACTATCGGTAGCTCTATCGGTGCAGCGTTCAGTGCAGTCCAAAAGGTGACATTCCTTATGCGGACGACGGGTTTCAGAGGCAGAGTCGTAACGCAATGCATCTAGACCGGGTGTTCCTGAAGAATGCGGGGGGTCAACATGTGCGTCAAACTGAATAGTCACCGAGCAACGCCAGTGCCCAGTGGTTGGCAACAAGACTGTGCGTGGATGAAACATCCAATATCCAGCAGGCGGAATGGAATGCTCGCATCGTGGCAGTAGCTTATTATATAGTTCGAGTTGATCAGCTCGGTAGTAGTCATTTGATATCAGAAGAAGATCTCTTCCGATCTGGTGACATATCCGATATTGGAACATATATAGGTGGGATCCCACTGCCAGTGATTTACATTCTACCGCGACCACCATGGCATGGCTGCACAAGTCATACCTTCTGCCATTATGGACCAGTGCAAGGGTTCGAGTCTATGCTCTGCGCAGCCTTCTGCTCACATTACTAATGTATATTGTCATGATGATGCACACAAGTACTGTTGTACGACTGGAGGCAACGCCCCAGGACCTGCTTCTGGATATCTGGGCTCATGGCAGCTGTATTATTGCATTCTTCCATCATATTTTTATGTGAGTACCATGTTTCATACCCATTTCAAAATAATAACCATGTTAGTATCACACAGTGGGCACCCAAGACCAAGCGGGCCATCCAAGTTGAGCTGGTACTCCTGCTTCTGGAATTGAGCGGTTTGTCTCGCCAGCTCCACAGATTATGCAATCTAATGAATGAGTGTCAGGAGTGGCAACTACTCTGTGGATCATCGACAGAACACCCATCTGGTCTGTACAGTTCGGTACAGTCACACTAAACATGACTCCACTGTCAATGGCCATTGGTGCCATTATACTCAGCCTCTTGGTGCTGCAGTTTCTTTTCCGCTCTATCATATTATGGAAAGGGAAAGATTACAGCTTCCTAGCAGGTTGCCTTCCAGTATCTCCCCCATACAGCCCTAGGAGTATGTTACTCAACCGTTCATTATCAAGACCCCTTGTTCGGTGTGTACCATATTTCCCCAATTCCAATGAACACAGGCTCAATGCTGCACAGTGGGGAATCTGCTATAATAATCATTCTCCGTGCACTTATTATCAGTTTTTGTGCAGTCATTGTGCCAGGATTTGCCATTTATTCAATAATCATAAAGCCATCACAAACGCAAATCCATCTCACCACCCCAATTGGCACATCAGTTTCTGTTCCAGAGGGGGGCTGGGACCAGACAGGAGTAGCCTTTTCAATCAAACCTGTATGTCCTTGATATGACACCTGATCCTCTTATTTAAAGTAATCTTCTAGGATGTGGAAGCTGCATACCCACAACATGCCATCTTACAACCATCTCAAGTAGAGATAACAGCAGTGAAACATGACAAAAGTATAATGCCATGTACTATAGAAAACCCAATTCTTCCTGTAATTTGTGTGTATCCTGACAGGATATTTTATTATTGTTTTAACTCTCTTATCAGGTCCATTTAACTGGGGAGCAGTTTCTGTTCTTACAGTGACCATTTATGATGTGCCAGACAATCAGATCATAACTATTACTGCCCACCCAAATATAATAACCCACCCTGAAGAGTTTATAAACTACCAGGCTACCCAACCAGTTGTGCTCCTCTCAAAGTCACATCTTTTTGGTGTGCTTGGCTGGAATATTCAACAGTTGTATAATGACTCCTCAGTATGCAGAACTTGTCTCTGGATTTGGGATTGCTTGCTTATTGCTTTCTCTAGAACTATCTGTATATTCCTCTAGTCACACAACTCCAGCAAGATGTTTCACTTCCTGCATCTTCAAACAGCACAACATTGAGAATCAGATACCTAAGAGACTCTGAGAGCACCCTGATGCAGTACTCTGAACAGACTGGGGATTATCAACTATTGTCAGGCATATCTGATTTTGGTGGATTCTGGACCTTCTTGAATGGTGCCTTCACATTGCTTTTTGGGGCAAACATCTTTTACTTTGCTTTTGGTCAGTGAACATCTTGAGAAACACTTGTGTCTAAATTTTATTTGACAGGCCGACGACCATTGTCTGCTTTAGGAGTGATCCACTTGTTTCAGCGCACTTCTCTTGTGCGCAAGTGGCAAGAAGACTTCCCCACATTGGATACAGAGGGTGGACATCCTGGAGATTCATCTGCAGGCATTGTTGCCTTTATTCGTGAACGACTGGTTGATCTGGATTCTGCCTCTGATGAGATCTCAAAAGCAGGAAGACTTGGTGCTGTTATGGAGGAGACCAGTCCACTTGTCCCTTCCACAGTTAATCAAGGTGCAATACAAGTTCATCAAGTCTTAAAAAATGCAGGCTATGATGTCATCATCTAACCTGGGATACTTTAGCTGTTCAGATAATTTTATTGTTGTTGTTTATGAAATCAGAAATTTAGGAATAGTTTTACATAGTGTATAGACACAGTTTAAAAATGTAACATCATTGTTGCAGTGAGACAATGTTATTGACCCTCTATGGTGCTTAGCCTAACTAGGGATTGTAGAATATATTATATGTAAGGATCAGATAATTTTTATATATGCACTGGAGCAGAACAGAGGCTTCTGTCGGGTGGGGAAGCAGGAAAGAAGCTGGTCTCATCAGCATTCCAGTGGTGTTCTGGTGCGTATTTTGAATTGATTTGTGTCATTCTTTTCCTCTCCGCCTGAACTACTGCCAGGTCAAGCGAGCCTGCTTCACCATGTCGTCTCTACTCCTGCAAGAAGTATTTCTTCTTGAGAGACTCCATCCACCCAGCGCCAGTGAGTCGTTGTTCCTCAGGGATATTCAAGGCTTTCTCAAAGTGTTTTAATTGCGCAATTAATATTGGGCCTGTCACAGATCGACGCTTGCGCTCCTGGTCAGCCACCCACATCCCGAGAGCAACATCAACCTCGGGACATGTAATGACCCATGCTTACTTTTGATTCAGCGCCATTTGGTCAGTTGCAACCTGCGCTTGGATAAAATCTTTGACCTTGAGCTTCTTTAATAGGGCGCCTTGTGTATAGATGAGCTTGCCACCGCTGGAGTCGGAACAGGTTGTAAAGAGTTTGACAACGGCAGTCTGGGAAGCAAGGGGATGGGCTTCGGCATAGTCAAAGACTTGGATCCAGTCTCCGAAGGTGAGATCCTGGCTCTTGTTATCCTTCTCAAATCTGGCAGTTGTCTTTGGCGCATCCTTGGCTTTCGGGCCCGGCTTTGCGCGGAGCTTGCCTGAAGGTTTAGGCTGAATGTTGTTACGGGTGGCGCACTGTTTAGTGGTTGGAATAATAGTCGTGGAGGTAACAATGGGGATGATACATACATATGCTGTTTTAAAATATATATAAGCACTCAGTCTAAGTGCTTTGACTGACAATGCATAGGATTTATGGTCGGAAGTGGGTAAAATTATGGAATGATATGCTCAATGACCAATTCCACATTCCAGATAACAATTTGTGCAATAATCAGTTATACCAAGGTGGGAATAATCAACCAGTGAGATTATCACTGAAGATGAGCACGTAGTGCCATCATTCACATTCTGGGCTCACATGTCCAATTTTAGGGCAATTTCATCTATATCAATGCTTTAAAATATACCTTTATAACCATATCTTGCCTGGTATGGAAGATCTTGGTATGAAATACCCTTTCGGTCATTCATCACACAGCGACCTATAACAATGGCCATCACTTCTTGCCAGAATATCTCCCACTCCTTTGCAGCCAGATTGTTTTGGCGCTGGGTGTAAGTCCCAAAGACAGTGTCCATAGCAGCGTCGGTCTGAGGGAAGTTGAAGGCCTCGTCTGTGAAGTACTGTTCGGCAACATCACAAAGCTTGCGAAGATGTTCCCCGCCACAGTCGTGTCGCCGTCCATTTGTTCCTCAGGCCTCGGTGTGTGTAAGTCGAAGAGAAAGATGACAGGTGGCAGTGCTGCTTCTTGTGACCCTGTGCGAGTCATTTGATGGCACCACTGCTGCAGCCTTGGCCGCACAAGCCCATGGACTTCTTGCCTTATCATGCAGTAAACTGAGAACTACTTTTGACCCGTTTCTGAACATTTTTCAAGTTTTTTTAAATTGATACCATTTCTGTATTGATCCGGTATCATACCGGCTGTATTGATACCCCCCGTCCATACATCCCCAGCACTACTTTGCCCTCACCAATGCTTTGTATTGGCGGAAAGCCCAAGTGCGCCAGCCCAGGTAGTCACAGAGGTCTGGGGGATCGTTCGAGGACGTAATGCCCTTGTTGATCAGGGGGTCAAGTCCATGGCGGTACTTGGTCACCTTAACCAACCTTCAAACCCAGCAAGGTCCATTAAGTCCTCGAAGTCATCAGTATATCCGTAGACGTCCCGCTGATGAGGGTGGATGATGGGTGGGGAGACCGGAGATGAGACCGACACTACACAACTAAAACCCAACAACAAAACAACAAATAGTCGTTCTGTCTGAGCGATAACCGTATAACACTGTTCCAAACATCCAACAACCACCAATAACCGTCTCCTAATACGAGTGCAGAACCCTGGGAACAGAGCCTGTACACGGGTGTGCAAGGTTGTAGGGTAGATCGAATGAAATCTTGTTAAAGATTCGTTTTGTGGTTGTCCTTAAGCGTACTATTGACGAAAGCCCGCAATAGGAAAGCGCCAATATGATGGCCAGAACCGTTTATACTCGTTCGGATCAGGAACTAACTGCCTTAAACTCTCGACCGCCAACCGAAACCAAGTGTACGCCAACCGAAACTCTCTTATACGGCAACCGGAACCCTCAACTCTTCGATCACAACGCCTTTTACTTGAATGAAAGAGCTAGCAGGATGATATTCACAAGCTAGATCCCCAGATGCACCTAGTAATGCGGGGCAATCCGTGAATCGCTCAAATACAGGACAGAGATATAAATACTAAAACAGAAAATGATAAGATCAGGTAAATCGCCACAACAGAATGATGGTCCATGTGCATAATTTTTAAGGTATCATTTCGCCATAAGGCCCAGAGTCGAAAATCCAGGTCTAGATGACCGGTAGTGCATGTTTGGTGTCAATGACCTTTGTAAATCCTCCTTTATCGCGACCGTCTATGCTTTTTTGTGAACGGTCCGCTAACCGTTGTTGTTATCGTCGTGTTGCTCCACTTCCTAGCTTTCCATCGATACCCATAACTTGAGGCTAACCGCCAGACACCGTTAGGCAACTCTTCTAACGAGATAATCACAATCTATTGTCAAGTTGTTCGGTTGGACGGTTACGGGTTAAGGTCGCCGCGATCTGCAGCCAAACCCTCGTTTCCACTGAGTCATGTTTCCCGTTTAACCACACCTCCACATGTCCTTGTCCTTGCGTAAGTTCCGAAACCGCATTCCAATACTGTCAGGGACTGATCCGTTCGAAGCCCGGTTGAACCTTCATCGGAGCGTTCTGAGTTCGAGTCCCAACGGCGTGCCAGACCAAATATGCCTTTTAGTTTACACTCCCTTTTGGTATATATAAAGGATTGGATGGATCCTCTATGTTGGTTGGGCTCTGCTGTTGTTTTTGGTTGTTGTAAGAGTCGTTCTGAACGGCCAGTTGCTATCAACAACAGTCGAGTCGAAACGCCTCCTCGCAGATATCTCCCTAACTGGCCATTCGGGACTCATGCCAGTTCTTAGACGTGCGCTATACCCATGAAATGTCGGAGCGTCCGAGGGGGCGCCGGTTGGATGTGTCTCGGATGCGCTCGGACGGTCTGAAGGAGGCCGAAGTGGGGTTCCCCTGACAATGTGTGGCCATTGACGGGTGCTGTAGAGCCATTGTGACGGGCACAGGCAGCATCCCTAGTGATGTTAGGGGAACCCCTACCTTGGCATCTGTCTATCACATCTCAGCATCTGACATCTGTCCATCAATTATGTACGTGATGCCCAAGTGACTATCGTATATAATTTATTAGGATCTGCAGGAAGATTCTCTTAGGACCTGGCATGTGACATGGTGTGGGCATATTATATGGAGCAATGATCATTCTTCTTAATAAATCAAGAGCACAGTATATTGTTAACTGCCTGGCAGGTGGACCCTTAGAGTTTCTTCTCTTTGGATCCTTCCCTGCCAGGACCTTGATCAGCTCATGTCATACCAACTCGCCAAATTCATTCAAAAACTGGCGAAGAAGTTCAATACTTGTGTAGGAGCTGTGAAGCGCAAGCGGAGAACGTCAAAATGAAGCACCTTGCTAGGCTATTACATGCAGAGTGTCAATGCAGGTCTGTCAACACTGGCATTCTAACTATATGATGCTGATATCTTTCAGAAAGAGCCGCTGAAGGCAAATCACCCATGTCGTACATCACTCTCCAGGCGTGGGTCAAGAAACACCAAGAGCTCCTCAACTTTGGTCCTGAAAAAACCAAAGAAATTGTCGCAGAATAGGCAACAATGACTCGCTTATGCACTTTTGTGTAAGCAATCTGGGTTTTAAGTGATTTTTTTTTTTTTTTTTTTGCATTATAGGCTTCACAGGGCTCATATCTAACCCAATATGCATTCCATTGGGGACAAAGGCACAAACACCCTCGGCGCAGCCGCGTGGCTGTGCAATAACAGCCATTTAGCATGGCCCGGTTACTGTACTATTTTAATCAATTAGTCCTGTCACAGTCACATTGACTTTTTTGGCCGAAAATTTTCTGCCTGCAGCCTGTCACAGGTCACAGTGAGTTTCTTTGGCCCTAAACCATCCCAAAATGGTAATTTTTAAAAATTTCTGCGCCTGCGGCGCGCAGAACTTCCATATAAGGCAGGAGGTCACACCAAATTCACCCCTTGGCTGAATTGCACATTTCTGCCACATGTGTCACAGGTCACAGGCCCGCAGAATTGTGGGGTCCAGGTTGAGGCCATACAAGGCTCTCCTTGGAAACACACACCCAGAACAGAACAGATGGATTGTTGGGCCTGCAAGTGCAGCAAGCAGGGTTTCTTGGTCATGTGCTTCCCACATGCGTGCTCCTCCCTTCTAGGGCACCTGTTTCCTGTCGTTATGTGCTGCCTGTTGTGGGCCCTTGGTGGCCCGACACCAGTGCCAGAGAGGACAGGCTGGGTTTTATCCTTGACACTAACAGGAGCAGCTACAGACAGACAGTGTATAGTCAGCTACCTAGCAGGTGGTAAGGCTTCTCACAAGTGTCACCAATAAATACCTGTACTCTACCTGCAGGTAATTTAGGCTTCAAAACTAATGCCTGCATTTGCAGCATCCGTGGGAAACAGGTACCTGTACTCACGGATACGGGTACCTGCACAGGTTATCCCTGGGTATTGCCTATAAAACATGAGAATACTGAGGTATATTGATGATATCAATAGCCTATCTAGCATATAGTATCAAGTAATATACTGATATAGACATCACAGAGCATGAGAAGACTGTAGTGACTGAAATATATATAAGATAATGAAGATTGGGATCTTCCAAAGATACCTATACTCTTGGCATCTGTGGGAAACGGATACCTATATCCGCGGATGTCAAACCTGCGGATGTTTTCCTGCAGGTACCTGTGGAAACATCTGCAGGTATTGACACTTGTGCAGAGCTCTAGTGCCAGGTGGACCCTTTGAGTTTCTTATCCTTGGATTCTCCCCTGCTAGGACCTTGATCTCAGGCCTCCAGGGTTTCCCCTGCAACCCCCCCTGACAAACTGAAGCTTTTCGGGCTGTGATGTATGCCAGTAACTAATGAACAGAATAAAATTGTCAACGTCGGGCTCGGGCCGTATCGGGGCGTCGGGGGGTCCGACTTCAAAGGGGTCTGGGAGCACGAGGGATGGGTATTCGCCCGGAGAATAGACGATATTAGCCTAGCGACTACATCTTGTAAGTACGGTTTTTATATGCTACGATATTAGGGATGGATCGGATGGGCGCCAGGTCCCAGGGCGGATCGGATGGGCGCTGCGTAGGGCCGCAGGGGTGAAGGGAAGGGGTTGGAAGAATGGGGGATTGTCGAAGAGGGTGGCGGTATGCGGGCCCGTTCGGCCCGTGCGGCCTTATGGCCCGGACGGCCCGACCCGAACCGTGACAAAAATAGTACAGCATTTTGATAAATTAAGTGCATAAAGCTAAATTGCACCTTGAAGCTATAAGTAAGCAAATAATCTTGGATGTCTAGTCCCTCAGAAGTAAATGATTATTTTTCGCAATAGCATCCTAACTGGATTTCAGATTTGCATGATAGATGATAGTTACTGCCCCTCAACATTCATCGCAAAACACAGACACACATTCATTTGAACTGTTAGATCTAAGTAAAGCAGGCAATATCAAGTTTTTTCCCGACCCTACTATATATCCATGATTTTAAACTTGCACCCCCTTGACCATAAACGGACATTTTCCCTGTATGAATGTTGTTAGTGGAACATGATCAGAGCTTGACATGCATATGTAGCGTGTAATCTAGTCATCCCCATTCACCTGTCGATGCTCTAATGGTCGTCATATAAAATTATTGTTTCCAAACATATTTTTCAAGATCACGAACTAGTCCCAAACACAATGCGGCCCATTCAGTCGCTCAGTCCGGAATTCCCACCGAGCTCGAGCTAGATCCCAGGACTTGTTAATATTATCTTCTAACGCCATCGCCATCAATGACTTTGGTTCGGACAAGACATAGCTCAGCCGGATCCCGCTATCCTTGATGGCCCGTAACTCCTCCGGCAGAGTCGCGCGGCCCAACTCGCCGATATCTGCTGTGCGGAGGGATGCGGCCAGTTTCGACGGGTGAATGACATCTCTGGTTCGACTCTGAAGGGCAGCGACAATCGCGGAATACTGCGTCTTCGTCGGTATGCCGATGTTGAGCCGGAGGGTTTCGAGACGCAGACAGATGTCATCGGACTCCGGGGGTGAGGATAACTCGAGGGCACGAATCAACGAGAGACACTCTGTGCCTGCATCGTCACTCTCGATGTCAAGATGGGCCAAAGAGGGCTGCATGCTGATGATGGATAACAGCCGGGGGAAGTCGTCTGCATCGGGTGTAACCCGGAGGCCGAGCAAATTGCAGCGAGAGCGGGAGATGAAGCCGAGAACGCCCTGGAACTCCGCGCAGATGGTGAGATATGCGAGATTTGGGGCAGCAAGGCGGGCCAGCAGTGCGTCGACTGGTATTTTGGACGAAATAAATAACTGGGTCAGGTGGCGCAACACGGTCACCGCAGCGTCGCTGGCTGCGACAGGCTCTGCGTCGGTTGATCGGACAATTGTACAAGAGCAACACTGAAGGTTGAGCGCAGAGACCAATATCTTTTGGAATGCGCCGAGGGAATCCTTGTATTGTAGATGTTTCACGATGCAGGCATAGTTTTTGCAAACTCGAGCCCGAAAGGAGTTTGTTCCACCAGAGTTTGCCGTTTCTGACTTTGCCGCGAAGGTCCAGAGTTTTTAACTTCCAACCAGTTGATAGCGGCAAAATGCGCAGGCAGCCCTGGAGGTCTTTGCTTTCGTTGTCGTCTCCCCAGTCTAGAGTGACAGACAACCATCGAGCCCCACTTAGGACCGCCCTGCCAATGAGTCTGTGGAGGTGCTTGGAGAGTTCGCTCTCCGACTCGGAACCGTCGCCAAAATCGATGAAAATATCGAGGCCAGCACGCCGAGAATGGGTAAGTTGCCGTTTCAATAGAGCCCTCTCGTACTGCTTCCCGTTTTGTCGGTCATGGTTTGGATAGAGTCATGCCGGATGCAGATTTCCGTCCACAGCTGTGCGTTTTCCAGTGCTGTGCGGCGCCAAAGTGAGGACACCCGTGTGAGCGCGAGGAGACTCCAAACAGAGAGGGCGACGGTTACACCCAGCTCGTCATCCGTATGTGTTGCCCCACGCGTCTCCGCCATCAGATGCGACATGACACAGGCGAGGACCGAAGACGGTAGCTGACGCACCGCAGAGACGTGTTGATCCTGTACACAGTCAGCTCTAGGCCGCTCACTGTTCGGGAGAAGAACGAGTCGTATTACCTGTACACAGTCAGCTCTAGGCCGCTGTAGCACAGTCAGTACACGATGAAATACAAGTCGCGTCGCACATACCTCACTGTTCGGGAGAAGAACGAGTGAGGCAGTGCAACGGATCACTAGCTATTTATGCGTCCGCTCCGTCGCCCTGATCCGCGGATCGACACACCCCCCGACGGAGGAAAGCAAACAACCACACAGAACACCCTTGGCTGTAACAAATAGCTATTTGCTATGGCTATTCCCATAGAATTTAATTGCTTTCGCTCTGGGCTCCCCAGGCCCCTGGCAATCCCACACAAAAATGCTCTTGCCTGCTTTGGCTCTGCTTGGGTCCTGCCGCCAAGTTGCAGCCGGCACGAGTGGTCTCATCACTAGCTCATCACTTGGATCAATCGCATCATATACGACGTGCTACAATCAATTTTACACGGGTGGGGTCCGGGGAGGCTAACAAGCATTTCTAAAAAGGTCCGTCAACATCCTAAACGGGACGTTGGCGTCTCAGCCTCATCCCACGTGCCTCCCTCGGTCCATCTCCCTGATGGTGCTCTCTGCCCTTCGCGCCGCCCTCAAAAGTCTGCGTTCATGGCTGAAGCCGCGTGGGTCCAGCTCTCCCTGGGTCGCGGAGCGCATTCAGCATGAGCTTCTCGTGCTCGTCGAGGTGGTCGTGGCGGTTGTGGTTGTGGAGGCCTCTTGGAGCTTCGTGCGCCAGCGTGTGACCCGCTGCGGCGCGGTCGCTGCTGGGTCTGGCGCGGCCACACTCTCCCTGTGCGTCACCAACATCGTTAACCTCCCGCTGCTCATCCGCTTCGCAGCCAACCTGCTCCACCGCCGTTCCTGCCAGCAAATCCCGAAGCAATGGTACGTCGATCAGTTCCCTCGCGTTCGCCGCAGATTTGTTCCAGCTCTCATAAAAAGCTTCTCCGACCCTTTTGTGCATAGCGCACTGGCGTAGCGCATAAGCACGCAGGCCGCTGGACAATGCCACGTCTTCCTCATCCCTTGCCCCTGCGCGCTCATCCCATTCCTTCTGTATTGTCGCCAAGCAGCGTAACACGCGCTTCATCTCCTCGCGTATCAACGCCACTTCTTCGCGCCATCTGTCTCGCCGCGCCCTTGCCTTGGTCCAGTCAACCCGCACGGCTGTGGGGTAGAATAATGAGCCTAGTATACTATAGCAGCAATGAATTTTACGCACAATCATGCAATTCTGTTCTGTCGGTGCCCCCTGCGATGCCCCAAATCCACGAGACCCGCGCTTCGATTGCAGTTTGAGTCGGCTCGTTTCGCGATGCCCGGGCAGACTCCGCCGCGCGTAGTTTCTTGACAGAGGAGATGTCATTCTCGACACCTGCGCGCCCGTTGATATCGGCGTCCTCGAGTTTCCGGAACTCAGAGGAGAAGCCTTGGCCTTTCAAGGCGACCAAGGCATCATAAGCCTTCCGATACTTCAACGCCGCTCTCGCAATACGCTCCCCAATGCGCTCCAACAACGTCGCAGACCGGGTTGCTCCTTTTTGCGCCACAGAATTCGAATTACGCCAATAGATGACGTGGGTCTTGGTGTATAAGCAGCCTCTCAGCGACATCAATGCATCCGCACATTGTCCCAACCGTAATTTCGTTTCTGCATCAGCGACCCCACGTCCACAATAGCGCCGGCGATCATCGGGTGACAATTCGGAAGGCAGATAGATTTTGAGATGTTCTGCTTTGGGAGGAGGTTCGTCTGGATTCCGTTTTTCATCGTCGCTCGCCCGGATATCTTCTACGCCAGGCATGTAAGTCAGTTGTAGGTCGTGGAATGTCTTGAATCGCTTGTGCAATGAAAATCGCTGTTCCTGGATTGCACTCGAGCGGTCCGCGGAGATGAGTGTCTTGGCCTTCAGTTCTGCCAAGATGCGACGTCTATCATTTGCTTAGCAACTCCAAGAAAACGACCAGGGAATTCCTCTCACTGGGATTCCTCGAGCTGAAGGCCAGCTTTGACAAAACCAGCGGCGGTCATCTTTCCCTCGGGAACCAATGGTGCTCGACCAGCGCGTGCATCCTCGACTTCTGCTGCTTTCAGTTGCTGCATCACCTCCCGTTCGGATGGTCCCGCTAGATCAGGAATATCAAACCGGCGTCACTGCTCAGCGCTGATTACCGACCTTCTTTCCCCCCAATGATTAAGAAAGGGTTCGGCTCTCGGTGGTCCTTCTCCCAGTCGATGACCATTCTCTCCCAGACCTTAACCTTCTCCTCTGATATGCTCTCAGTCATCTCTTCGAATTCTTCCTCCTGTGTGCGCCGCTCTGCCAGAGCGACGATTAGCTTTCGCATGAGGATTCTCCCTGTCAGATGGTGATAAGCATAGTTCTCATGTCAATCTCCGGCACTTACCTTGCCCGATGTTCTTCTCGAAATTGAGATGGTCAATCTTATCTTCCAAGGTGTCGTGGCGAGCTCCTTCCCCCATCTCCTTCGTCGCCCAAGCACTAGGATTCAGTAGCGACCAAGTTCGTTCAATGCCTTCTCCGTCTGTTTTCCCAACTCCATGCGGTAACTGAGAGTGTTCTTTGAGCGACAGTTTATCTCGTGGGCAGACGCATGCCAGACGGGTAAGGCAAACTGCATCTTGTACTTGGAGAGGTCCGTCGTGAGATCGCCGCGTTGTCGGATTCGTTCACCTCGGGCAGGTAAGAGAACCTGCCAATGGCAGGCAATGTCGTAGCTGATGGTCACGTTGATGACCTTCTCGCCTTGCAGCGTGGCCATGACAACGTAATCAATATTAGCGTATCTTTCAGCGGTTGGTCAATGGCAGACGTGAGACAAGCCAAGACACACCTTTCGCCTTTCTGCAGATCGCACATTCCCTGCTTCCGGACGAGCCCGTGTCGAGCGCACACTACACCGCCTACCCCCGACACCCTCAAGCCTGTCGTCACTTTGGTGTCTTGTTGGATGAGGGCCGCGAAGGCGGCGCAGCTGTGAACCTGGCAGCGCTTAATAATGCCAAGGCAAGTTAAGCGGTTTCCAATCGCCTACCTCCTTCTCAGCCACGTATTCACGCAGATGCCGCTTGTAGGCCTCGGACTGGACAAAATACCCCTTGCCTTTCGCTAAGGCAGGATCTTGACGCTCATTTGCTCGAATGCGGTTCTTCAGTCGGAAGTTCGCGTCGACTGCCAAGATGAGCTTGTAGAGGAAACTGATTTTTGCATTAGATTGGCACACACTATCTCCTCACACACTCACCGTTGCGAGCGATCGACTCGTTTCCAACCTTCCGGTAGGTTTCGCCCCGGTTGAGGACATGCCCAACAGGACACGGCCAACTCCCCCGTCGCGGTTTCCGCAAGGCCGCCTGGGTCATGTGCTCGCCCGGCCCGTTTCGCCCGAATCAGGTAAGTGTATTGACGATGCATGCGAAAAAACGCCTTGTAACGATCCTATCGCTCCCGTTAACGCACCGCCAGATCCGGAAAATACGGGCCTACCGGAGTCGCCTCAAGTCGGGTCGCATCCGTCAACCTTTCAATCGAGCCGACAAAATCATTGACATTGATGTTGCCGACGACTTGCAAGAGTCGAAAGAGTTCCAGAGCCTCTAGCGTGGCGCATGTCTCTGGGTCTGTCGTGGTGGCAGGATACCAACCGTGAGCGAGCAGCTGCCGTAGGACATTCCGTCTTTGACCCAGCTCACAATTGCAGGTGCGCACGCGAAGAGTGAACACTCCCCGCACGTCAATAACCACCATGCGCTTCGTCACACTGGGGTTTGGGCACGGAAGTCCGTGGTGCCCGACCTGGAAGATCAAACCAAGGCCAATCTGGCCATCGAAATTGGGCAGCACCGAATAAAGGTTTGTCCGGCACCAAAACCGGCCGTTCCATTCCTAAATCAAATCAGACAATTGCCATCACAGATAAGCAGACCCACCTCGACGACGTGCAATGGACGTGTCTGGTGGGCACGGACAGTGCAAGACTGGCATTGTAGGTAGTCCCCACAATGACGACATCGAAACATCCGGGATTCGGGGCTTGACTCTGAGCAATGCGCGCAACAAGGCTTGTGAACGAAGTCGGCTAGCCCATCGCGCCGGACTAGCTCATCGAGGAACGTTGACGCGTGCGGTAACCAGACAGACATGGGATCATCCTGCACTCCCGTGAGTTGCCGTTTACTTTGCTCAGGTAAAGCACCTACTGAACTAGCATAGTGACGTCGTTTGGCCTTCTCGCTCGTATTTTGAGACCCCACGTCTTCCATGTCGGGCTCGGTCTCATATGATGAGACTGTGAGTGCGAGCGCGCGGACGTCCTCATCGCCAACACCCATCGGAGTCCACCCAGAAAGGCGATCGTCAGGCTCTTGAAGCTCTTCCGCGTCCAAACGAGGGCGCTTTCTTTTGACCCTGTTGACAACATCGGTGAAGACTCGTGCTCCATCCGCTGAAATGTGAATTTGTTCATCCCCCAGGAACGTTGTCGTCGCATTCGGAAGATTGTCGTCCTGGATATCCCCGAGCAAGTCGTCCTTCCGCCGACGACCTCGACGAAGCATCTGTGCAGGTGAGTGCGGAGCGTTTTGGTCTTGCCGCCTGGCCTTATTATATACACATTAGCCTCGTGCTTAGACATCAATACTCCTCGTATTTTCCCCTTCGCCACTGAACGCATGTCATTCCTCGGTCAAATGATGATTCATAAACCTCTTATTGCGACGATGACAAAGAGTACTGACAAGAAATATCGTAACTCGAAGTAATCAAAGTAGGACGAGCAGGGCAAAGACAACCCCGAGAAGTCAGCTCGAATTGACCCCATCGCGAGGAACGGACCGAAACCGTGGTTTCGGGAGACGGGTTGGGACACTCGTCCGTCATTGTAGCGCTGATGTGGCCAACTTGGTACACGTATCCCAACTCCGAAATGGGGACCAGCTGTGTCCAACGGCGGTTGTTCCAAACCTTCGCTTGGTGTCAGCATCTATAAATTCCTGAAAATTCCACTCACATCGACAAACCCGTGGTCTGGGCGGCGCTCGTGCGCAATCAAGATGCATCCTTTGCAGGCGTACAACCCGTGCATGCACCTATTGCGCCACGAGCACCGATATAAGAGCCTCGCGTCCGCTAACGAAGTGAAACACCAGGCACATTCTTTGGGCGCGTTTCCCAGAGATCGCTGCTTTTCTTCGGCGCAAGGTCCAGTCCGCCGTAGGTTGGTCCACTGGTCTGCGCGAATTCTGAAACGGTGCAATACTTCGGGGTCGAATGGAGTGTCGTCTATAGCTTGAACAGGCTCCTCGATGAAGTCCTCGCCGCGCATCAGTCCACCACTGACCGGGACGGGTGGTGCTTCCGGTGCGTCCGCAACTGGCGCCTAGGGAATGTCAGCCACAAGCCCAACTCAAGACCAGAAGAAAAAAGCACGAACTGTAGCTCCGTCAGCCATGAAAAAGTCGGTAATTGGTCGTTGACGCATGAGTGGGGGTGGCGAGTCAAGATTCCAAGTCAAGTAACTTGGTAAGTGATGCCATCTGAATGGGACGACGTGCGCGATATATTATCACACGACGTGCGCGATATTGCGGAGGCAATTCTGATTCATCAGATTTGTACCTCGTGCTTGGTGCTGGCTAACCGAGATTTTTGGGGGTCTAAACAGCCCATCATATCCTCCGCGACACTCCCCTCCGACTCCTACATCCGACTTAAGTGAATCCCCAAACCGAGCCAAACAAACTGCTCACTGAGATGCTCCACCCGCACGCCAACGCCGGAGACTAGAGCTCAGTGGGGGGAGCGCCGCTGTGTCCTTGAGCTGCGGGACTCGACGAGCTTATTGCTGCTGCGGGCGGGTGTCACGCAGTAACAACTCTTCCTCCTACTTCCATCTCGTTCTTCCGTCAGTCGTTCACTGCCAATGGCTGGTACGCCCCTCATCTATTCTCTACTTTCTGGCCACTTATTGCATCCAGAGCCTCCTCCTTCACTGTCTTCAACTCGTGCGTTACAAATTATGGCAATCGATGGTGAAAATCTGCTGACTCAAATTTTCTAGTGGAGGAAGAGAACGTCAGGCGTCGAGCCATACGGGCGCGTATCCGTGCGCGACGCGAAGCCGAAGCAGCTCAAGAAGGTATCGTGGGTCATCTTTTACTGCTAAGCAGTTCACTCACTCCTCACGACAGCAGAAAAGTTGTCCATCCAGCGGGAAAATACTCGCCAATTTCGCAAGCAGCAGCAGGCTGAGGCCGGTATGTCGTTTGTGCTTGGTGTGCTTTTGTAGCTCTGATAACAACGGTCAGCCAAACAACTGCGAATCCCAAATCATCGTCTCCTCCCCCACGTCAAAATGCGTCCAGGCTTCAGGAGTGAACGAGGCTCGCGAGTGGACTCCAGACTCTGCCTATCTCACATCTGCTCGTCCTCCTCCTCCGTCGCCTGTCAACCGAGCCTTGGCTCATTGCTGTCCATTGTGCGGCAACCTTTTCTCTCATCCAGTCGTGTATGCATTCTATGTGGCTGTCGCAGTACCTTGACTGATTTTCATTGCAGAAATGGCTCGTGCGGTCATGTTTACTGCTACATCTGCAGCCGAGGATCCCTGCAAAGTCGATTTGCCTGTCCGGTGGAGGACTGTCAACGAATGACGCTCCGGTCAGCTCCCCAGCGCGTGCCAACGATGGACAACATCTTCCAGGAGCTTTACGCTGCGGAGTATCCCGAGTGGGTCGACGATAGCAAGGTCTCTTACTCATTCCGCGGCCTTCAATTCCCCTTCTACGATGTCATTCCTGTAGAGCACTCAGCGGAGTCGGATGTTTTGACGGAGGTGAACTCAGAGGACGACCAGTAGCAGCTTGTAGTAGTGTTGTTCGTTGTTTTAGCGCCGTATGTGAACCTCGCCCTTGTCTGAATAGTATTACCACTGGCCAAGCCATGTAAAAAAGGCCCGAGGTCTCGATCACGTCTGCTAAAAAAAAAGCCATCAACTAAATGTCGTTTCGGCCCTTGAATGACCACCAGATGATACTGAATCATTCGCAGGTCGCGATGCCATCATCTAGGCCAATCTGAGGCCAAACGAACGTGATGCCCAATTGTATCTCGAGTGATCCTACGTGTGTTGGGGCCCAAAAACGTTCACAACTTCACGATATGAGCAGGTGGGGGTCTAATATTGGGCTAGTATATAGCTTATATGTCTTGCTAGCTAATATATTTTTTTTGGATTTAAAGTATACCATTAACTAACTCATTGCGAGCTCATAAGACCACTAATAACCACAACGGAAAACTAGCTAACATCGCAAAAACTCACAACAAATTTTCATCTGGTCCTCCTTGACCATGATAGTAATTGAAGAATATCATGCCTGTAGACTTCCCCGTCTACTAACCTGTCTCCCTGGAGCCTCAGAGGACGTTTGTAGCTTCGTCAAGGTGAATGTGACACGCTGTGACCATCTCTCCTTCTCTCCTCTCATCGTTATGCTCGTCGAGCCTCCAATTCCTGGCAACGTCAAGACTCGGCGCGCGGCTACCACGATGGTTGCGCGTCGAATAGCCTCAGCGCAATACCGAGACAAGTGCCTCGCACATCCCCGTTAGACGCCACACCACTAACGGGCTCGACAGGCACAAAACGCTCGTGGCGCGAGAGAGCCCGGGAAAGAATGGCCCTGTCCGTCAGCACTTTAACGGTGCATTGCAAATTTTCTAACGCTCATTTAGACACCGTGCCAGTGCAGTATACCACGCACAGAGGGATGAGTTGCGGCGGCAATCTCGGGAGCGTAGTCGTCTCTATCGGCAACGGTGCGGAGTTCAAGTCAGTGCTCCAGTCACTGACTTCAGTATCAAGCAATTCCGCCAAAATCGCTGAAAGGAAACGTGCGGCCAGGGCCCGCGATTACGTGGCCGAGCATGGAGTGTCAGCCTATCTTGAGCGAGAGACGAAGCGACGCGAACGGCAGCAGATCATCGACGAGGATGAAGAACTGCGTGCGTGGGATCAGTACTGGAAAGAGCTTAAAAGCAGTAAGGCCCGCGACCGTGAGGCAGCTCGAGCCCTACTGGAAGTCAGCCGCGACCCCTAGTCTACTGTGGTTATCTTGCTGTCGTTGTTTTTTGTTTTTGCTATTCATGGACACCACTTTGCGTTGCAGAGAGACGAAAGATGATATATTATGGAGTTTACGGACGGCTGGGTATACGACGTTCTCGGACACGACCATGCAGCTCTGCATCACGGAAGCTTGCAATCGCTGCCGCCAGTGTTCGGTGTGAATCATGAGATGCCAAACGGATCCCACTGGTATTGAGTGCAGCTTCTAAGCTAAGTAAGGTTAGAAAAAGGGAGGGCAGGTGAGGAGTAGACGCTCACAAGGTCGGGTAAATGCCGGGATTCACTCCTTCAGTCACGATGTACCATGCCTCATCGGAAGCACGATGCTCGATCCTCGTCAAATCGATGGTATCATCCGAGCGAAGGAGAGAAACAGGTATGCGATCGACGGGTAGCGGTAGGCCTCGAAGTTGTGGGGCATTCAAGGTATAACCCTTTTTGACTGCGTAGGTGTATGCCCGTTGAGCCTCGGCGCGGTCTGCGTAGCCTTGGTGAACTGCTAGGCGAAAGCCCCGTGTTGCGGCTGCATTGTACTGCTGGAAGACTCCCGTGGTCCACCCTCGAAAGACGACCCAGCAGGTGGAAACTCGGACTGGGTCCGGATCGCGGTATAGTTGGACAACGTGGCCGCCAGGAACCCCTTGCGTGGCAGAAGAAGCCTCAGACCTGACAGAATATCAGAGATGTGCAATGTCAGTGGTGACAGCTGACCATTCAGACGTGATTGTGGTGGGGACAGAAGGTGATGAATACACGTAGAGTTTGCTGGGCGATGCCGCGACGGTATTTTGGACCCAGCGGAGGCAGAGGCGGGACCAGAGGTGGTGGTGCAGTGGGCGCTGGACGTAGAACTCGAGGCGGCGAAGGTGGTTGAGGCGGAGACCGGTGATGCGAAGGAGAAGATACCCGATGACGTGACAAATGATCTTGGCTTGGCTCATCGTCGGAGACAGTAATCGCCGAGCTATCAGAGTCCAGATCCGCAGTGTCCGAGGCATCGGGAAGTGGAATAGATGGGAGTCGTGGTGCGTGACGACGGGTTGGATGGCGAACGATCTCCCAATGTGATGGCGCAGAGTTTTGATCTGGCGAATGTCCTTCAAGACTCGCAGCCGCTAGGGCTTGTTCGAGTTCATCAATACGAGTGTATGCCGCGGCAAGTTCTCGCGAAAGTTCGCTAGACCGAGTGGAAGAGGACGAGGTGCGCGTGGTGCGACGAGACATGGGGACAAAATGTAAGTTGGGAGAGAGAGAGAGAGAGAAGAGGGTGTCATGAGATCGTTTATTATCATTTGGAGAAAACACATGTGTACAAAAAATCACTGGGCCTTGTCAAGGTCAAGTTATTGATCTTTCGGAAGAATCAAGATAGAAAGACGCACCGGCAGAACAAATGTATGAGCGGGCAGGTCATGGTACTCCGGCTCTGGTTGATCAATGCTCAAGAACCATCTGTTAGACCATGAGCGAAGGGGACTAAAATGTGAGAAATCTGTCCTTACCGACGAACAGCCTCATCAACGACGGGCAGGTCCTCTGCCAATACATCGAGAAGTTCCATGGTACCACCAGGGGTGTAGGGGTTTAGGCACGGAGGATGTTTGAAGACTACCACAGCCCCAGCTACGCCCCGATGATTGCTCGGCATGACGCGAGCGACACTAGCATTCGGCTGGAAGTCGTTTGTGTCCTCATCGGCGCTGCTGGAGTGACAGAAACACGGTCGGAGAATACTGTAGCAGAATTCGCTCCCCGGGTTCTCTTCGTTAGCGATATGAACGACGGGCTTGTCGCAGTGGTGGCAATGGATGGGGCTAGTCGAAAAGACGGTGTTTAGAGCAACCCCGTTGGATACGATAGTGTGTGGAGGGTGGCTGGGTCGGATACGCATGATGCGACGTTGCCCACGGATGGGGTAGAGCACGAAGCGGATTGCCCGTGGAGTGTTCGTTTCAGTCGTCGTAGTCGCCATGGAGTGCAATCGAGAGACGTAGATCGCCAAGCCACTTGGAATCACCAAGTAGACAGACAGAAAGATTGGCGAAGCTATTGGATCCGAAAGTAAGTGACTGTTCAGTTCTTTCTTTTCTTCCACCCACTCATCCATGGCTTCCTCGTCGCAGTCGACTTCCTCTGCTCTGCCAGACATGGCGTCTGCCTCTTCACAGTCTGTCGCTGCCCTGCCGCCGCCGCTGGTCTCTGTAGTACGCACTCTTCTTGCCAATAGAGTGTCAGCTTAACATGTCGCAGCCGCTTGGGATGGAACCGACCAAGAAATATCGACGAAAGGCGCGGAGCGAGAAGAAGAGCTTGAAGATGTGGGCCGAGGGCAAGCGCGAAACCGTTCTGGC